GTGAAAATAGATGTATGTATTAAAATACATTTCTCTTTGAAAAAATAATAACATTTTAAGACAAATATGAATTTGGAAAAATTATCTCAAGACAATGAGTAAAATTTATTTATCTCAAGAGTCAAGACCAAGCATTCAGTAAAAACGTTTTTGTTTTAGTTCATTTCTTGTTTGATGAGATAAATCATGACTGAACTTAGTCATGACCACGGACGAATCAGCCGTCGGTTCAGCCCAGAACCAGCCCGTGGTCAACGGGCTCATGGTTTGACCAGATCAATTTCGGGCCACAAATATGTACTTTATAAATTGTCGGGCCAGTTCCGAATCGGAACTAGAACGGACTGTTCGCCTTTATTTTTATTTTTTTGAATTTTTTAATATTTTTTAGATGAATCGAATCAGCCCAGAATCGTCGGTTCACCGAATTGGCCGGAAACCGGTCTTGGCCATGTCTAACTGAACTATATATAAAAAAGCGAAACCGTAATCAATTGTCAAAATTTCAGAATAAAAGTGACGAGCGACGGTGACATAATCACCCTTGGCCCACACGAGGACTACAGTGGGCCCGAGCGCAAGATGACGGCCCACCCGAAAGTCGACAAGTTCACGGGCGAGTCGTTTGCCTTTCGGTGCGACTACATTCGTCCTCCATACCTCACCTACTTCACGGTCGACGCCAACGGCACCAAACGACCCGACGTGCCCATATTCTCCTTAAAGGAAGCCTGCATGATTCACGATTTCGCCCTCACCAAAAGCCACGTCATATTTTCCGACTCGCAAATCGTGATAAGGCCGACCGAGTTACTTAAAGGCAAGCCTCCCGTGCTTGTTGACCGGTCAAAGGTTCCGAGGCTCGGGATTTTGCCACGTCACGCGGCGGACGATGGGGACATGTGGTGGGTGGAGGCGCCGGGCTTTAATGCCTTGCACATGGTGAACGCGTGGGAGGAGGACGGTGGTGACACTATAGTGTTGGTGGCTCCGAATTTGTTGGAGCCGAACCATGTTATCAATGGGTTGGATTTGGCGGTTCAAGTGTCGATGGAGATGATTGAGATCGACGTGAAGCGGAAGAAGGTGGAGAGGCGCCCGGTTGCCGGCCAATCGGTTGATTTCGCGGTCATCAATCCGGCTTACGTCGGCAAGAAAACCAAGTATGTTATTTTACGCCTTTGTTAGTTTCATTTCTTATAAAAGATCAATATTTATATATAAAAAAGAAGTGTATATATAATGCTGTCGTATTTAAAAAATGATACATAAAATAACCATTTTGAAATGTTGAAACTATACAATAATGTGATAAGCATGCACTTTTGGAAAAGTAATTAATACTGATCGTGAAAAAATAAATCTATACAGATATGTTTACGCAGCAATAGTCGAAGGGGCAAAGATGTCCGGGGTCGTGAAGCTCGACTTATCGACTTCATCAAGCGATTGCACGGTGGCTACAAGAGTATACGGGCCGGGCCGCTATGGCGGCGAGTCATATTTCGTTCCAAGAGAAGCCGAAAATCCGGAAGCAGACGAGGATGATGGGTACTTAGTGAACTACGTGCATGATGAAAACACGCAAGAATCCGAGTTCTTGGTTATGGATGCCAAATCGCCCCATCTTGATATTGTAGCCGTTGTTAAGCTGCCTCAACGGGTTCCTTATGGATTCCACGGGATATTCGTGCCCGAATGCCAACTCCATAAGCTCTAATACTGCACGAAATTATCAATAAGTGACATTTATTGATGAAACTAACATAAAAGATGTTTTATGTTACTATTTTGTCCTCATTTTTATGTGCTTTGTGTGGTATTTTCATGTTAAGCTTCCATTTACATGAGCGATCTTTCTTGTGGGATTTTTCGAATTTTCCTAGGATTTGTCTCAAAAGTTGATTTATATCGGTTTTTAGTTATTGACATATATATATTTTTTTTTTTTTCCANTATAAATAAGCCATGCAATTTGATATAGTTTCATTTGAGGAAAAAAAAAACATTTATATGGAGAAAATAAAAGTTGGTAGAAAAACTAACAATTTTATATATCAAAATTCATGTGAGGCTATGTTTGGTAACCAAATAAACTAGTTTATAAACTTCCTGTATTCAAATAAGTTTCGTTTGGTAGGACGAATTCTTTTAAAAAAAACTCGAGTTTATCTCACAAATTTCTTTGGGTAGCTTTTCAAAGAAGCTTGTTGAACTTTTTATTTCAGTTAATTTATCTACTAGTTTTACTAAACACTTTTATCATATATATATATAAGTTAACTTTCCAACTATAAATCATTTACTTATTAGCTATAAGTTAGTTTATCGTCAATTTTACCAAGCATAGCGCTAATCAAAGTATTAATTTGTATTCAAACAGTTGACCTTTACACAGGATCATATGCAAAGATTCGTGTGAGTTAATTAAAGTATTTGCTACAGACAAAAACATGTTAACCATAAACGTATAGTTGACATGACATAACATATTATAATAAATTGCGTTCATGCCAAATCAAACTGTCCTTGATTACAATCACTATTTTAAAAATCGGCCTAATCAGTCGCCTTCGATTTGCACAAATCAACCGAAAAAATCAGCAGTCCTAGGCTAGGCGGACTTGGCAGGCTCGGCAACCAGATGGTTAGGTGGCACCTAGGCGGCAATTTTTTAATTTTTTTTAACCACAATTAAGAAGAACTGTGAAGTACTACATACACACTGACATTTAAAATTATTAACCACATTTTTTTTTCCTGTGAAATAATGTTAAATTACTGTTAGCCATATGGACTAAACACAAATTACCTTAATATTGAATGTTATTATTAAGCGTGATTCAGATCATTTTTATTTTATTCCCCAGCAATTATCTTAGATCTGGTCATAAATAATCTCAAGTGTCCAGCTTTAACTGGAATGTATAAATTAGAAATCAATGTTGATTACTTATAGACAAATTATATAAAATCAACAGCTTGATTAACCTGCAGCCATT